CAAAATACGACCAGATGTTCTTAATTTTTAACACGTAATTTCACTTTTACAATTAAACAAACAAATCAAAATAAACAAATTACACAGCCGTTAATAATTAATCCTGATACAAAACAAGCTTGAACTTTAAATTTAAATCAATCGAAATTTAATATCAGCGACCCAATTTCTACTAAAAAAATTGATATACGTACAGAGTGTCCCATTATTATTAAGGTTTCGAGCCCGAACGAAACGTTTGCTTGATTTTGTTTACACAACAGTAGATATTAACCAAAAAGTTGTAGTAGAACAATTTTTTTGGTGATGAAAGTCCAATTTTCAATGTGGCTCTATAACTTACGAATATTGCAAAACACTGTTTGCTTATTTTTTCAGTAGCGACATAGGACGTATTGACTTGTTTGGTTTCGTTTATTGCAATATGTTCAATGGTCAGGAGCTCGGTCAGGAGCTTGGAAACCCGTCACCTCCCTGTGTTGTCTTAAAAAGTTCGTCCACTGAACATCTTCCTTAAGAAATTGCGATCCAGCTTCCAGAACGTTCTCCCCCAAAATAATCGCTTTGACAAAATTCAACCATAGAATATTCTCCACCAAAAAATGAATAACATTAGCCATGGCAAAAGAGCCCCACTGCATTCCTACTTCCAAAAAATAAGGTAGCTCCCAGTATTCGATACAAGGGCATTCCTGGAAAAAAGTTCTCTGCTAGGAGTGATTTTTCTATACAGAACATTTTAAAGGGTTTATTATTGTTAGAAATTGACGGAGCAAATTTACTTGAGGGTGAATATTTCGAACGAAGGGATTCACTGGAGAAGGTTAGGTACCTGTGGTGAGTTCCCTTTGGGAAAAGTATTTCGAAACCAAGCTACTGCAAACGAATTTACTTGCGAGAATACATATAAAGGACATGCAAATGAAACCCGGTCACTAGTGGACTCAGTCAACACACTTCGTCGTCCGTTGCGAATCGATGTCCGCGAATAGCCTGCTTTAGAGGTCCAAAGATATGAAAGTTATAGGGTGTTCGGTCGGAACTGTACGACGCTTCCAACCGAAACTACGTCAAACGGTACGCACGCGTCTGTCTGTCTACCAATGGATGGCGCCACCATACTCGAAGTTACGTGGTGCCACCCTACGTGTAAGTCAAAAGTTAGAACTTAGGCATATAATGTGCGGAAATGAAGGTAGAAAATTGGTTTTCAGCATCCCACATCGACAAATGCGTTCACAGGTTTGGAAAAGTTCACCTATTGCAATAGATCAACATTTGATAAAGCTAACAATGTAAAGATCTGGTCCAAGCTTACCAAATTACAAAAGCAATAGACATAATCATGACGAAAAATCGTTCATTCTTTTTAATTTGGTTGTCTACAAATCTTTTATGTTTTCTATTGGATGCCATCGCCATTTCTGTGTAGGTGATATTTTAGTTTTGATTTATGGAATTGTTGACAAATAAAAATCGAAATTAATGGTTATGAAGGACACAGATTACACAATTTATTTTCAAGTAGAGCAAGTAATCGTTAAAAATTATTTTGTAAATAAGTATGACAAATTACAACCAAATTAATAATCATAATCACCTACGCGCCATTTTTTTCATAATAGAGAAATCACAACTTCCATTTCAAGTTTCGATTTTCCCATTTATCCGCCCAGCGAACTCACACGTTGCGGTATTTCGTAATAAAATTCGTGATTAAAACGACCGCCACCCACTTAATTAATTTGTGTGTTTATTTAGCTTATTGAAATCGTAGATTCCGAACAATAGGTATGTAACGTCCGCTAGGCGTTAAACTATAGAACGACACCTACACATTCTATGAATAAGGCAGCAGATTTAATTTCAATCAGTGCCTACAATTTCGTGTAATAGATGCAATTACAAAATTTGGGCGTTACCAAATAACTCAGGACGTCTACAAGAGTTACCTACAATGCGACCTGTCTACACACCTTTTTAATTATATTTGTAGTCTGGAATAAAATAGTGTCAAATCATTATCTTGTAATACACCGCATATCACAACGTAGGGAAATGTTATCACTTTTGATTGACGGTGGTTTCATTCAAACATGGCCATTGATGAGCACATCGATAGAACCCACGAAATAAGCATCAGTCATAAAAAAAAGAAAAGACGAAAGTTTCGGCCTCAGCCTGTATCCAAATTAATCTTTTGCTTCTACGCTAAAATTTCTTCTACCCTGTACTTAATAGCTGTGAGAAGGAAGACTACGAAGTCACCATGCGAACCAAAGTGTTAAAATCAGTAAGAAAAGCACCAAAAACCACAGTACATCTAAAAAAAGACCATTACGACAGCGATGCACAACTAAAGAAAAAGTAATAATTTTTTCATTATGTCATCCTCAAACCTGGCTAACACTCGAAATCAAAAACACTTTGACAATTAACATTCAATGGCCTTTTGGACACTTAGATAACCGACAGGATACCAAGACCGTTCGAATTTTATTGTATATTTGGTTTTACACTCTGTTTCTCTATTTTTGGAACCTAAACGCTCCCAATTGTAACACGTTGCACTCACAGAGACAACTGATTCAACTCCGATTCAACCCTATACCTTAAATTATACACGTTATTCTTCAATTTTAAGAACTTACTGAAGTCGTTAAAATGCAAGGATTTAAAATTTTGCTGATGGAGATTAAT